AGAGCTCAACTCTGAAGGGGAAAATAGCTTGCGTTTGAAAAGAGAGAGTGGAATAAAGGGGGGATCGGTAGCGAATGTAATGTCGATTTAGTGGAGTTTTAGGAGTGAAGTAAATGTCACGGTGAGCACCGTGATTATTAAAATGTCCCCGTGTGATCATTAGACGGTATCTGGCAAGTTGTTTACCAAGAGGACTTTACTTTTCGCATTTGGTGTCTAGAAGAAGAATAAGAAGAGAAACTGAACTTCTGCTGTAGCTGTTTTCTCCTTCTCCTTTCTGAACTTTTGAACACTCTCCTCGTGGGATTTTTTTAAAATTGCATGATATTCACTGAAACAGCTTCGTGGTCTAGTTTATTTCAAAAAAATAAAAGAGGAAAATGAAAGGGGTTCAGAAAACACAACGTGCAAATCCTGACAAGCGTTTGAACCAGACACGACAGCACGCGCAAAATTTAGCAGCCTCTTAAGAGCAGCCTGTGTGTCATTTTCTGCGTCAAGCTGGGGAGCCAGAGTGGCTCGTCGTACACTCTGGGAGTGATCCGAAGCACAGCCAAATTGCTAAGCTTTTCAAGTCAGCCGCACACTTCTTAATTATTCTTTAGATTGCAAAATTACTAGTGAAATGCAAAATGAATCGAGAGACAAGTCAGCGATGTGCCATCCTGGGCACGTCTACGTGACCTGGTTGGGATTATAAGGCAAGCACAAAAGGTAGTAGACTTCCTGACTTGCATTGGCTATGGATGCTGCAGCTATGTGGGATTTTTTAATTGGCAAATGTCATGAAACCTAAATGTTGAATGAAAAGTGCACTGCTTGCTTTTTTTTTTTATACTGATTGAAAAACAGAAAATACTTCTTAAAAGAAAAGTTGTTCAGCTGAGGTAAAACTTGCTCTTGATTTCAAGCAGAGAAGAAATAGCAAGAAAAATGCCCAGTTATCAAAACCACAAAAATTACGAGACCCACTTCAGCTGTCAGAAAAAAGATAGGATTGAGTTGTTGCTCTTGGTGGAGAAATCCTAGAGTGGGGCTGGGCTGGGCTTGTCTCTTGCGCCACTGTCCTATTGTGAATCTCCTGCTTCTGCATATACGTTTGTCTTGCACTTTGTTGGAGTTACTCCTCCAGTCCTGCAGCTACGAAGACAGCGGTTTCGTGTGCCCTAGACCCCTATGATGTGACTCCTAAAGAGATCTGCTGTGTGTGTGTGTCTGCGAATCCTTGGTGCCCTGTTTGCCTACAAGCTGTCCTTTTGAAATCACTGAACATAAATTTCACTTCCCAGGACATCTCTGAAGTCCTGTGAGCATGACTTTGGCCAGGAAGAGATTTCCAGAGCAGCTTGAAAAAGGATCCCCTGTTTCGAGGGTATCATCTGGTGGGACTCTCCCTTCAGATACCCCCCCATTCCCATCCCAGACTCAATCCAGCACGTCTCTCCAGAACGCCCAGCAGTCTCTGCTTTTGTGATAACTGGCCTTTCCCTTCCTTGCAGGACACCTGAGCCCCACTGCCTGCACCCTGAGGAAGCACAAGACGAATAGGAAGCCCCGAACCCCGTTCACCACTTCCCAGCTGCTGGCTCTGGAGCGCAAGTTCCGCCAGAAGCAGTATCTGTCCATCGCCGAGAGAGCCGAGTTCTCCAGCTCCCTCAACCTCACAGAGACCCAGGTCAAAATCTGGTTCCAGAATCGGAGGGCCAAGGCCAAGAGACTGCAGGAGGCTGAGCTAGAGAAGCTCAAAATGGCAGCGAAGCCCATGTTGCCGTCGGGGTTCAGCCTCCCTTTCCCCATCAACTCTCCCATCCAGGCTGCCTCACTGTACGGAACATCCTACCCTTTTCACAGACCTGTGCTTCCTATCCCACCCGTTGGACTCTATGCTACTCCAGTTGGATACAGCATGTACCACTTATCCTAAGAAGATCAGAAAGACAAAGTGACAGTGAGACAGACTTCCTGGTGGATCACGTCCAACCCTGAGAAGGCAGTACACCAACCAGTACTGGCCGTTCCTTCTGCACGCTTCTGTCTGCCATCCTGAGTGTACGGGAGTTTGCGTTAGCAAAGCAAGGCATCCTGTATGCTACGGGTTGGGTGTCTTCTGAGAGTGCTCTGAGCGCTCAGAGTCTGATCCTCAAAGAAAAAAAATATGTAAAAACAAACAGAAAAAAAGAGAAAAAACATTTGAGCAAATGTAGGGGGTTTATGCAGTGCACGTAAAACTAGAATAAAAAGGAATGAGTGAAAAAGCAATCTCATTTTACGGAGGCAGAGATTTCCTGACGCCTTCCTGATGGGGCCCAACACAAGTTTAAAGTAAGAGGGGTGTATGCTCTAAATCCACACTCTCCAGTGACATCACTTAATATGGGGGCAAGAGGGAGGGAAATAAAAAGGTATAATCAAGGTTTTGTTGTTTGGGGTTTTTTTTGTTTTTGTTTTAAAGAAAGCAGAGCCCTTAGCTAGAGACACCATGTAAATAGAAACTAGACCCAGTAGAGTCTGAGTGAAGTTTAGAGCCAGCAAGTTCCTGCATTTCTGGGGGTAGGGAGAGTTTTTGCATCCCAAACCTCAGCAGATTTTTGCAGCAAGATGAGCATCAGGGTCCCTAAATGTAGAGCAACAGATTTATCCACAGTTGGCTCCTGTAATGCCTTTATCTGTATAAATAGCTTCAGCGTTCGTTAAGCACTGTGACGGGAGGTAAAGTGCAAGGGAGGGTTATTAGGCAGTCTGCTCTTTATCTCTTCCTATTGGCATGCTTAGAAATTTTTGGCTACAGCCAGGTAATCTTGGCTCTCCAATGCTGTTTGAAAACCAGGAGAGAGGGAAGGAAGCTTTTTGGGGAAAGAAGACGTGGGTTGTTTCCACAGTGGTGGTGAGCAAAGGATTGTTGAACAGTTCTGGGAGATGCTTGGGGTTTTTTATTCGTATTTGCAACAGTCTATATTAAACAGAAGAACCCCCCGAGTCTTCCTCTCCTTCCCTCCCAAAGGATGCCAATAGAAGTGACTCATGCTTTAAGCCCTTCTTAAGAGAGATCCAGGTATCGCAAACAACCAACCCTACTCGTAGGACGGTGGGCTGCCAAGAGACTGCGTAACCTGCCTGTCCCCGTGGGAGCTCCCCGAGCGCTGGCAATATCTTCCCCAGGCTTCTCCTTGTAACTGTTGTATTATGTGTATTACTCTTGCTAAACTTCGTGAGAAAGTTACTCCAAAGGCTGTGGAGCACTGAAGGCAGAGCTTCTCCTGGATTTATTTTCTTAGCATGTTGTCGTGGAAGAAAGAAAGAAAGAAAGAAACAAAAAAAGGCAGAAAAATGAAAAAAAGCCACGAGGTTTTACTGTTTTTTCATTTGTTCTGACCCGGGCACTGTTGCTGCCTGGGATCCACTAAAAATGAACTTCCCTGTTCCTTCCCTTCACCCCCAATCTTCCACTATAGGAAAGTCCCTTTGAAAGGGATGCCTTGTACAATTTTATATATTTTATTGAAGATTTATTATTTCTTATCTCTTATTTCGAATTAAATTAAAAAAGAAAAAACATGTTTAATCGCTTGTGGGTCTGTGAGAGTTTGGAGGTAACGTCTCTCTCCGTGTGTGTTTTGTACCGCTGGGTCAAGTTCAAAGGAACGTTTGGGTTGCCTTTATGATTATTTCCCCTTTCTGAATCTGAATTAAAGCCAAATTTGCAGCACATGAAGGTGAATTGCAAGTCAACAATTCAAAGTCGAAAGCCAAACCTTTTATGAGGTTTCCTCATTTTTAACAACCGCTTTTAGGCGCCTCGGTTCTTTACAACAGCATACTCCGGTGATGTTTCCATCACTTCGCTTAGCTCGTGCGTCCTCTTTTGCTCAGGACTCTCTCTCCACCTCGCCTTTCCATTGACCTCAAACCTGTGCTTTAGTGGGAGACCAGTCTCTGCCTCCGCAGCAGTTGGAGGTAATGTTGTACTGGTGAGACCCGGCAGAGACCCTGCGATACTCCAGCACGGGGGTATTTTGGGGGTCCCAAGTGCTGTCAGCCTCTCCCACGGTTTTTGGGGCAGCCTCCCTCAAGGGACCCGCTCATGTACTGCCGGAGAGCAGATGCCGGACCACCTGCCCAGCCTTTCTGCTCAGGGGGGCTCGGGTTTGCTCAGAGAAGAGGGGTACCCGGGAGGTCTGGGCGAGTTTACCACGTCACACTGAAGTCCCATGCTCACCCGATGTAAATTTTGTTGTAAGAGGCTTATTCGGGTTAGGAGTGACCTCTGGGATCCCAGCTGGAGGAAAAGGTGTGTTTGCCTCTGCCGAACCAGCTGGGTGGGGGGCTCTCCCTGCGCCCGGGGGTCCCCGCCTGTCGCCGTGCCCACCCCCCCTCCCGACTGCGAACCCCCCCCCAGCTGTTCACCTTCCCGCTTCCCAACTGTAGAGAACAAAGCTGCGGGAAGCTCATCTCCACGCAGACTTTTCAGATTAGCGTTTACTGCCGCAGAAAAACCGGAGACAACGGCTTCTTTCTGGGGCTCCCCCTTTCTGAAGCGCTACCCCCTAACTCCAAAGCAGGGAGAAGCCCCCCTCGCCCCTGTCCTTCCCCGTCCGATTGTCCCGAGTACTTTCTTCGCTGGGCTGGTCCGGTTATAAATTAATCATCTGTATTTCTTTAACCTTTGGTATAAATCAACTGTGTCAGGGATTACAGCTAAATCTTTGCGCTGGAAATTCTTTGAGCGCAGGAGCTTTATGTGTGTTATGATAGATCCTTAAATGGATACAGATTTATTGCAGAACACAAGGGTGTTGAAGGAAAAGCTTCCACATCTCGGTTACAACCTCTGCTACGGGAAAAGCAGATCCGTGACACCTTCCCCGAGCCTGCGGATGGCATGACAATTCACCCTGCGCCCATTATTAACTTGTTCCAATTAAAGCCTTCAGAAAGGCCGAGTTAATTGAGTATTATATTTTATTAGGAGGGAGGTGTCAAGCTTTACTCATGAGACTTCATCATCGGCCTAATGGGAGCTGCCCCGCAGGCAGATCTGTAACTGAATAAATTACAGCAAGGCAGGGAAATCAGAATGCTACCATTAAAAGCGATGCACTTACTGAAATTCTTCCTCCACTTTCGCAAGAGGCTGTGGAGGTGTGGCTTTAATTAGTTATTTTAATGCAAAGTTAAATTGTTCCCGAAGTATTTTCTGACACAAAGCAGATGCGATGATTAGAAGTTGAGTGAGACTGAAAGGAGTTGGCATCTGTTCCAGGTACATCTATATATTTTAAATTTCCAATAGAAAGTGAAAAATAATTAGAGCAATAAATAATAAACGTTAAAAACAACGCGATAAATTATCCCGATCCTTAAAATCCTGACTTGCTGAAGGGCGGCTCAGGCCAGCCGGGCACGGCCCCGCTCTCCCGGGATCTTCGCGCAGGAGGTGTGGGGATTTCTTGACACAGACGCTTAGGAAC